CCCTCCTGATGCATCCATGCATCCAACACAAACACTGCATGAAGCTGACGTGTTTCCAGCGTCAGGCGGCTGCTTCAGGACTGAGACTCGAATGTTTAAACATGCATTCGTGCACTGAAGCGCTTCCTCTCTTTCTAGCAGATTCAATAAATTATGTGAGAACGTGGTTTGAGCAGTTTTCACCTGCATGTCGATCACCTGCAGCTCTGATTGGATGTTTCTGCACATCCTCCTTGAGCTTCACGAGCAGCACTGAGCTCCCTGCTTAAACAGCACGACGTGATGAGGTGAGCAGAGCTGTGACACGTTGTGTTTTTGCACATGTGTGAAACCAAACGGCAGAACTGGTTCTGGGATGTTGTTGGACTCGGATGTGCAGCCGAGTCAGAAGTTTCTGCAAACGTGTTTTAGGGTTTGGGAAAAACTGCACTTGATTCTTGAAACGAGACGTCGTGCTGTGGTCTGAGGATGAGATCAGACCTTCACCCTGAAGCCTGCACAGCTGGAAAAATGATGCTCTGACTTTCAGATCTTCCTCCTGTTCTTCCTCAGTGACATCACATGGGCTGGGGTCATGTGACCGGTTTATGTGGGAAACATCCAGTTTACAGCTTGGAGGAGTTTTGACGCCTCCTTCTTGTTTCTCTGAGACTCTGCCGACTCGTCTCGAGCCAAACATCTGTTGTTGTTGGTTTATATTATAGAATCCATCCCTGCGACACACACACACACACACACACACACACACACACACACACACACACACACACACACACACACACACAGACAATAGGGTGTGATGAAGCGTGCCTCGTGCCAGGAAGGAGGGGGGCTGAATTCAGGACCAGCAGAGGCACGCGCTGCCCTCATTCAAATACAAATGGTGGAGGTGGGGGTTTGGGTGGTGGTGGGGGTGGCAGTCCAACAAAAGCTACAGCTCATCAGCATGAGCGCCTCCTCCTCCTCATACACCTGAGGTGAAGGGGAGGCCTGAGCTCTGTGTTTCGGTCCATTCGCTGAACATTTTCCTGAAGCTGAGCTGAGTGTCTTTATTTCCACAGCTGACAGCAGAAATCTGTGTTTATGGAAGTGCTCGTCAAACCTGTGAGCTCAACGCTCCGGAGTCGCTCTGAGATCAGCTTTATTCTTCTAAATGTAACCAGAGTAACTTTCAAAAGTCACCTGAAAGCTCCACAGCTGGTTTAAAGTTCTCTCTGTAGATTAGACCCCACCACCACCACCACCACCAGCATCATCAGCCGTTTAGCTGCAAACACGGCCAACTGAAAACTGGCACCTTCACAGCAACGCAGCAACAACAGCTTTGATTGGTTAAAACTCAAGTCTGTGTGCATTTAAACACCCCTGGAAACACCTAGTGAGCTCAGGGCTCAGGCATTACCAGTGATACATGAATGAATGAATGAATGAATGAATGCAGCCTTATTTACTCTCATGTGTTGACACTGTACGCAGAGAGTTTATGGCTGTTTTTGGTGACAAGTTAGCGACATCAGTGAAGCTGCACGGCCTGAAGGTGGGTCATTATCATACAGCTGAGACCCCAACACACACACACACACACACACACACACACTAAGGTGTAATCCAGATTGAAATCTCATTTGTTGAAGTGTGTGTGAGGCGTGCCTCAGCTACGGCAGCCTGGAGGCGCAAAAGCGGAGCAACGAGGAGCTTGTTTCAGACAGCAGCTCCGAGGCTGCACCTGAGTGCGAGTGTTAGATAAAGAAAGCTTATTATGAACTGTGGATCATGCAGAGCTGCTGTAGTGCAAGAGTAGAAATATGTCAGCAGAGATCCCTGTAAATGATTCTTTTGTTTGGTTCGCCTCATTGCTTATGTTGATCAAAAATAATGACGTCACTCTGTCCCACTGTGACGTGTGACACCGACCTCAAGAACAGCGAGTATAACTGGGCTCCCAAAATGACTCGGTTGGTGTTGGAGAGCCCTGATGGGTAAAAAGCAAACCAGTGATGAGAAAGAAGCAAAACTCCAAACGGGACAAAGCAGCTGTGCGTGTGACGGACAGCTGGACTGGACTCACAGCAGAGTCCGAGTCTTTAAACTAAACTGGATGTATGAGTCTGAGCCACAGCTCGATCACAGAAACGTGGAAAGTGCTTTAGTTTGTGCAGATCAGGTGACTTCACTGAACACAAATTCTCAGTGATTGATTGATTTTTGTAACCTGTGCAGATTAAAGACTGCAGATATCTTTAATCTGCAAATATAAAAAACTGTGAAACACATCAGTGGCTGAAAATTCCGGACAAACAGCTGGATTTGTTGGTTTTATTGATTTCAGCAGCTCTAAATCAAACAATAAACGTTTTGCGCATTTTAAACTCAACCTCTGAATATAAAAATCTCAGGCGACGTGTCAGGATAAGTTACCATGGTGATTTAATCCTGTCACACTAAGAACTTCAGAGGACCACGTTCAGGTTCTTCTGGCTGCGCTGTTTGGCGCTTCAGAGCTTCAAAACCACCCACCATAATTTCAGTCTTCCTCCCCACTCGTGGGACGGCACGCGACAGGAGAGGCGCGTGTGGTAGTTTCACTTCCACAGCACATTTCACTGCCTCAGCGTGCTGACCGCAGAAGGTAAATACCTGCGGACACTTTGTGACGTCACAGAGGCAGTAAAAGCAGCGCCTCCGTCGTGAGCGTTTGGCTCCTGGCACTTTGCTGCGTAATTGCACCATCAGCTGGTGAAAGCCAATCAAAGCATCCCCCCCTCAGCCCCCGTCCCTCGGGACATCGTCACACAGAGTGTTGGAAATCTGTACAATCTGAGTGGCTCAGGCTTCGAGTTCTGGAGAAAAGAAGCGCCTGAAAAATAAAAAGTTAAAAGAACGCGTAAAGCGTGCGTAACGGCGCGCGGCGTGGGGAGTTTCACTCACTGCTGCTTTTGTTTTTCTTTCGTTCTAAACTCATTTCACAGAAACATCAGCAGAGGCCCACAGCAGCCCTCCCTCCTTGCGGCCGACGCACCTCCCTCCTGCCCTCCTCCTGAGGTATAAAGGAGGTGGGACGGTAGCTGCGGTCCAGAGTTCAGCGCGGAGCGGATTAAACTTTGTCTCAGTTCGGGTTGCACACCGCGGACACGCGCACACTGCCCGCTCTTTCTGGAGGTTTTTCTTCGTCTCTCCGTTTGATTTTGGATCCTTTGGACTTTACGCACTGGACCTGTGGACGCGCCATGGCACGCTCGCTGCTGCCGTGTCTCCTGCTGCTCGCCTCGGCACAGACGGTGAGTGACAGCGCGCACGGGACCCACGGGGGCGTGGGGCTTTGTTGATGCTTTTGTTAAACTGTTGTGTTACGTGTTTCGGACACGCTGCGCTGCAGAAACCGCGCGCGTCGGGTTTGTGATGCAGACGTGCGCCGTTTTGCGGTGATGAATTCGTGTGCGTCTTAGCACCAGGTGACCCCTCTCCTCTCTTTGCCCCCCTCAGGCTCTTACCGCTGGAGTTTTCGAGCTCAAGATCGACTCCTTCACCAGCTCCAGCGGCATCTGTGGCCAAAAGTCTGAGGACTGCCTGGTTTTTTTCCGCGTGTGCCTCAAACACTCGCAGAACGTTATTAACCCGGAGCCGCCGTGCACGTACGGCGACGCGCTCACGGATGTCTTCGACGCCGACTCCAACTCCATCTCCGAGAGCGAGCCCATAAGAGTGCCGTTTCCCTTCAAGTGGCCGGTAAGTGACGACAGTCACGCGTGTTTCAGGCGTGACAGCAGCGCAGCGAACGCACTAAAGGAGTTATTTCTTTATTGCTCTTGAAATCTTAAAGGTTTTCAGCCACAAACATCCAGAGAAGAAGAAACTTTTCAAACAAAGCAAACTCAAACGTGCCGTTTCCCTCCGCGTCTCCTAACATCTACTAACTAAGATGTTTCCTTTCAGGGGACCTTCTCTCTGATCATTGAGGCCTGGAAGGCGGACGCTCCAGGACGCTCCACAGGTAAACTCCCGACGCATCGCCGCCGGCTCACCGGCAGGTGGCGACAGCTCACACAAGCAGGCCTCATGCTCACAGTTCATCTTCCCGCACAGAGAATCCACTCGTGATTCGTACCTGTGAACATCAACAAGCACCAGATAAAAACACTTAAAACTATTATTTGTTAATGTTTACCATCGTCACAGATGAACATAATTAGAAACACGATTGGTGTTTTTGTCTGATGATGATGATGATGATGAATTTCCAACCAGAGAATCAGAACAACCTGATCAGCCGGCTGGCCGCCCGCCACAAGCTGAGGGTCGGAGAGGACTGGACCAAGGGCGAGAACACCAGCAACCAGAGCGAGCTGCGCTACTCCTACCACGTCGTGTGCAATGAGTTCTACCACGGGGAGGCCTGCTCCGCCTACTGCCGGCCACGCAACGACACCTTCGGCCACTACACCTGTGACAAGGAAGGGAAGATTAACTGCCTGGAGGGCTGGAAAGGAGAGTACTGCACAGAGGGTGAGTATGCTCTGTGATGCTTTCAGCAATTCAACAGAAATTGTCCTTTAAGGTGTAATTTTACTGCTTATGATCATTTGAGGAGAGTCATTCGTGCTCTTCTCACTTAAGATCACACCCAGAGTCACACGCTGAGCAAAGCGGCTCCAGTCTCAC